AAAATACATACAATCTCTGGAAGATTTTGAACATGCTTAATTATACACTAACTATCTGAAGAAGAAGTTCGTTTTTGCGAAAAAATCCGATTTGCTGATTTGACGTTTTTTTCGACGTTTCAAATCATTCTGAAGCGAATGAGACAAATTTTTTTCAATAGCGATCAGAATACAGGACATTTTGACTGGTGTCATTCACTCGCACGCATATATGCACACTTTCAAACAGACATATCAATCAATCTGATAAATATTATATTGATCATTAGAGAATCACTTCAATAAATAATTCTACTATTATGTTTATATAAAGTTGTGGATTTCTAAGGTTCATATAAAGTTCTGGGAGACTACAGAGTTTGTATGATATTATAGTTTATGAGACAAAATTTGAAAAAAGTATATGTATGGCTATGTGAGTCCATTTTGGACTTTTTGTCGATATGATTTTTGTCTGATCTGGTTTAAAAAATTTAAAAGCCTACATAACTCGATAAGGACTAGCGTTTGTTCCAATTAGCTGATTTTCGTTTTATCGATGTTTCAAGTCATTCTGAATCGATTGAGACCAAATTTGAAAAAAGTATGTGTGCGTATATGGGAGGAGCCTATTTTGGACTTTTTGTCGATATGATTTTTGTCTGATTCGGTTTAAAAAATTTAAAAGCCTATATGACTCGATATAAGAATTAGTTTGTTATAATTTGCTGATTTTGTTTTCTCAACGTTTCAAGTCATTCTGAATCGATTGAGACCAAAGTTATTATGTGTGAGTGTATATGTGTATATGTGCCCATTATTGACTTTGTTTGTCGACGTTTTGACAAAAATGTCTGATTCGGTTTCAAAAATTTAAAAGCCTATATTACTCTATGTGGACTAGCGTTTGTTCCAATTTGCTGATTTTATGTTTTCTCGACGCTTCAAGTCATTCTGGATCAATTGAGACCAACTTTGAAAAAAGTGTGTAAACCTATTTTGGACTTTTTGTCGACGTTTTACCAAATACGTCTGATCCGGTTTCAAAAATTTTAAATCCAATATAACTCAATGAGAACTCGCGTTTGTCACTTGTCTGCAATAATCGGCCAAGCCGTTTCTTTGTAATTAGCAAAAACTGCAAAATGTTTCGTCTCCGTTCTAACCCATAATTATGAATTATTTTTAAAAATTCAAAAATTGTTTTAACGATATTGATTGAGAATCGCTTTGATTAGTTTCTAGTAAAGATCTACTGGGCCGTTCTTTGGTAATTATTATTGAAAAAAAGTTCTTCGACGGCTTTTATAAAACTTTGTATGACAATATGATTTCGTAGTATGAAATAACATACTAAAATATTATGGGCCTAGGATCAGCGGTTCCCACAAATTAAACAAAAAATATCTAAATTTGGCTTTGCGGATTCTTATCAGAATTTATGCTGATCTCTAATTACATAAAATATATCAATAATTAAATAAAATATATTTTTAGAAAATGTGTTCAACAAATTAATTTGTTTTACAACTAGTTAAGTTTACAATGTATAGCTCTGCATCTTTATGGAAGTATTTGATAAAAAGGAGGTTGCTTTATAAAGCATGATTTTCAACAGAACTATCTTTATTTGTTTATTATACTAATATCCTTATTTATTTTTACTAATTACTAAAAAAATAGTTCTAAATTGGTAACTAAAATACTGGATATAACTATAATGGAATTATAGAGCATCAAATATTCAATAATGTGCTACTGAAATTTATCAAATTTGTATGTATTTATATTTATTAAAATAAGAATTTTTTCGGTTAAACAGTTGACTAAGCTTATTTATTTCTGCTAATTACAATTAATTATTAAGTTGTATAGACATACTTAATTCACAAAAATACTAATGCACATACAAAATTACTAATCAACTTCGTACTACATTGGTAGTCAAATCACCGGAGGTAACTAAATTTCTATTTTAGAGAATAAAATTTTCAATGAAATTCATCAAATTCTCACTTAGTCTCCCCATTGACTAGTGGTTAGAGTCATGGAATTTCCAAAAATTTTAAGTAAAATATCTACACCTTTTATTTCTTCGATTCATGCAACCCGGTTCCAATTATTTAGAAAGTAGTAACTTTTTATTGTATTCCTCGAAATGCGATATCGGCGGGCAGCCTGCCATTTATATAAGGGTTTTATAAACGACCAAAGAAACATGCTATAAAAACAAAAACATAAATTTTTGTTTTATGAAAGCATATTTTAACGTTATATTTTATATGCGCACCTGATCCCCGATTCACCGCATGTTTTTCAAACGGTTGATGTATCATCGTAATTCGTATTCTGGATGTCATGAGCTTTGGGTAAAAATATATTTGAAAATAATATATATATATATATATATATATAATATGTATAATGTTGTTTTTGTAATAAAATTTCTCATTAATACGTTTAACACAAGGTACATCATGCAGCGTCTCCATAAAAACAAATCGTATAAATTGACAGGACTTTATAGTCCATCTTTATTTACATCACAATCTAATTTTGTTTAAAAGTAATTTATACTACAACTTTATAACCCTCTTTACAATGCACCGAAAACTCAAGATAATTATCTCGGAGCTATCAAAGCCGAAAACCCAAATGTATATAAAAGAGACATAAAATATTTTAATCCAGTTTTATGTCCTCCGCCTATTGGAGCCATCAAAAGTTTCTCGTTGCACATGACAACATTCACATAGACTTGGAGGGGCTTCGTTGTGTGTTTTTCAACGATACTTCAGGCTTTTCTGTATTCAGCATACACGCCTTTATATCCATAATAAAATTCAGGAGATCCCTTTTGGTAGTATCTCTTTATGTATCATGGCAGTAGTACTGCATTACTACAACGCCCGACTGTGTACTACGATATTACACAATATGCGTGTAAAACATGTTGCTGAATTCGAAAACTTGCATAATCAGATGTTTCTTATGAATAAGTAAAATTTTATTTATATGGTAATGAAAATATGTTGCCAAATAAATATTCACAATAAATAAATATAGATTCTTATAACAAACTTATCGCATTTCTGTTTCTATCCAATTGACAAGTATAAAGATTTTACTTGGCTTGAACTAATTCACATAATTCTTTAGGTTGTATATTTGTTTGTGTTTGTACAGATGTAAATGTGTATGTAATTTCATGTAATGTATGTTTATTTTGCTCAATAGCATATAAATTTTTTTCATTTTTGATTGCTGTTAATAAATATTCCTACGTAAAAAAAACTTGGCTTGGATTTTTTATTGCTGTTAATAAATATACGTAAAAAAAACTTGACTTGTATTTTTTTTAATCAATTAACTGTGATTGACGAGTGTGCTCGTCATACAGAAGTAAACATTGACCATATGCTATTTAAATTGCATTTCTTTTTTAACAAAAAGTTTTGAAATATCAAGTTGTTTAGATTATTTTGCGGTTATGAATGTAATTGTAAATGTTTAAGTAAATTTTTTTCATAAGACAACTTCCATGAACTTTTGCGTAATGTGAAAATAATATACTTTACTCAATAAGAATGAAGACATTTTTGATTTTTTAACATCACGTAGAGTAAGTTATTGTAATCGGCCAAAAACCGAAAATAAATTTTTTAACATTTTTTCACAATTTGAAGGCTTCTGAACATTTTGGCATACTTCAGAAAAAAATGTGTGTGTGTATATAGATAAAATTTTTCATCCACGTTTTCAGGAGCACGGATCTATCGATTTGAATGGTTCGATTCTTATTGATAGGATGATGTGCTGATGCATTTTTGGCAAAGGCAGGTCCAGCCGTTTCGGATATACGGCTCAAAAAGTGCCAAAAACAGTAATTTAATTGTTGAGAGAACGGAGTACCCGATTTTGAATGATTCAAGAAACATTTTACTTGCATTGATGAAATGAGAAATTGGTGATTTTTTGGTGAGGCAGGTCCAGCGGTTTCGGAGATAGAGAGAAAAGTAAAAAAAATGATATTTGGCGGTCAAAAATGATGATTATACATATGCACATCAAATTATCAGATATCTAAGGTTTTAAACTAGTGGACAATTTTTTGGGTTCCGTAACAAGATTTTTATTCTTAAAGTTCACTTATACGGTTCAAACAAATATCAAAGTTTTCGTTTTTTTTTCAAAATTCTCAAATATATATATATATAATATATATATATATATATATATATATATATATATTTGAGAATTTTGAAAAAAAAATTAAAATTAATGTATTTTATATATATATGTATATATATATATACATATATATATATATAGATCTAAAGATATATTATAGTATAGATATCTCTCTCTCTATATATATATCTATATATATATATATATATATATATATATATATATAAATACATTAATTTTAAATTTACAATTGAGTTTAAAAATGTATATATTTCAAATGCGTTATTTTACTCGTGAGAAATATATCTTCAAAGTTTTGTCTTTGAAAATATTTGAAAAAAATTGTTATTAATGATTGATCAAGATTTATTGATTATAATTAGTTTTTTGCTCGAGCATTTAATTCTGGTACGGAAAGTTCCAGTAATTTGCCTTAAAGTACGATGCCATGCAACACTAGTTTAAATATTAGTTACAACTAACAACAAGTTTCTCTTAGAACATGAGAAAGGCCGAAAGTGCTTTTGCATTTGCGTATGAAAATCATACACCTAATATTATATATAAAGATTTTTTTTAATGAAGCTAATGTAGAAAACTGTAGGTAAATGGCAATTAAAATATAAATCGAAAATCCTTTCTTTTGTGGAAGTTGCAAGTACAGCATACATATATAATAATATATTAATTAAATATGGAAAAAAAAATTATTATTCGACATAATGTACAAGACGTAAGACAAATCGACAGTGACACGTTTCTAATTTTTCACAAACTTTTTCACAAAACTGAGCATAAATTATCAAAATGCGGGCAGAAAATTTAATCGTTCATCTAAACTCCTCGCCAAATTCTTCGTCACAAATGTCATCACAGTCCTCGGCGCAAGCTTCTTGATACTGTTGATACTCAGACACAAGGTCTGTCATGTTGCTTTCGGCTTCGGTGAACTCCATCTCGTCCATGCCCTCGCCAGTGTACCAATGCAAGAAGGCTTTGCGCCTGAACATGGCGATAAACTGATCTCCGACCCTTTTGAAAATTTCCATAATAGCGGTCGTGTTCCCTATAAACGTAGCCGACATCTTAAGTCCGCGCGGCGGAATGTCGCACACGGCCGTTTTCACATTGTGCGGAATCCATTCCACGAAATAACTACTGTTCTTGTTCTGAATATTCACCATTTGTTCGTCGACCTCCTTCATGGACATCCTGCCTCGGAAGACGGCGGCGACCGTCAGATATCGCCCGTGTCTGGGGTCGCAGGCCGTCATCATGTTTTTGGCGTCGAATAGCTGCTGCGTCAACTCGGGCACGGTGAGAGCACGATACTGTTGGCTGCCCCTCGACGTCAGCGGTGCAAATCCGGGCATGAAAAAGTGCAGCCGAGGAAATGGAACCATGTTCACGGCCAATTTGCGCAAATCCGCGTTCAACTGACCGGGGAAACGGAGACAGGTGGTAACGCCCGACATGGTCGCGGATACCAAATGATTCAGATCGCCATACGTGGGAGTTGTGAGTTTTAGTGTGCGAAAGCAGATGTCGTGCAGGGCCTCGTTATCGATACAGTAAGTTTCATCGGTGTTCTCAACGAGCTGGTGGACCGAGAGCATGGCGTTGTAAGGTTCTACTACTGTGTCGGATACTTTGGGACTTGGAACGACGCTGAATGTGGCCATTATGCGGTCTGGATATTCTTCGCGAATTTTAGAAATGAGCAGGGAACCTAGACCGGAGCCGGTGCCGCCACCAAGCGAATGGGTCAGTTGAAAGCCCTTGAAAGTAATAATTATTGATATGTAGTTAGACCATTTGAACTCGTTTCAAAATAAAGTCACACATAAATTTTAGAAAATTGGGACTACATTATTAATTTCCTGTAGGGTAAGTTATAGTAATAGCACAAGAATTAAAAATGAAAATTTTTATATATCTTTACGATTCAAATATTTCTGATCATTTTGGCATACTTTAAAAAAAAAATGATGTTTGTGTGTGTGTGCGCATGTATGTGTAGATACAATTTTTCATCGACGATTTCGAGAACACAGATCAACCAAATAATTAACTAGTGGGGTGTATGGCATCGTGCCCTTAAGGCAAATTGCTGGAACTTCTCGTGCCGTAACGAAATGTTCGAGGAATACTGAATGTTTTCAAATGGATGATTATAAACATTGTAACATTGCCTAATATTTATAAGAATTATATAAACTGCATTGCAAAGTTGAAATTATTTGTTTAAAGTATATTAGAACTTTAGTCAGAACTAAAAATGAAATCTGAATCATTTTCGACATAGAAAAAAAAATTCTGAAAAAAAATTGAAAAAAAAAATTTTTTGAAACATAATTTTTTTCCGAAATCAGTTTTGTTAAAACAAGCAGAAAGTGTTTTGAATCATTTAAATCGGACGCTTAGTTCTCTCAAAAACTGCCATTTGTTTAAAATTTAGCTCTGCATCTTTGAAATGGCTGGCCCTACTTTTGCCAAAAACTAATAACCACTTTTCCCAATAATTACTAATTGAATGTTTTTAGATTATTCAAATCGGATACTCCTTTCTCTCAAAAACTCGATTTCTATTTTCTGCACTCTTTGCTCTTTATCTCCGTAACTGCTGGACCTGCTTTTGCCAAAAACTAATCAGCACATCTCCCTATCAATAGGAATCGAATGTTGTTTGAACCATTCAAATCGGTTGATCTGTGCGCCCGAAAACGTGACCGAAAAATTGTATCAATACATACATACACATACATCCATTTTTTTTGAGGTATGCCAAAATGTTCAGATACCTTCAAAACGTCGGGAAATGTAAAAAAAATTAATTTCGATTATTGGACGATTACCATAAATTACCCTATGGGAAGTTAAAAAAACATACGATTCCTATTATAAGGAGACGTGCTGATCAGTTTTTGGCAAAGACAGGTTTAGCTGTTCCGAAAATACGGAGCAAAAAATGCCAAAAATCGAAAATAATTTTTTGAGAGAACGAAGCGTTCCTTTTAAATGATTTAAAAAACATTTTCATTGTATGTAACGTGTTAAGGAAATGAAGAACTAATGAATTTTTTGGAAAGGCAAAAGGCAAGTCAATGGTTGCATTTTCTATTTTTTGCCAATGGTTTCTTTTCTGGGAAGAGCGGGGCTTGAACATACGCGGGAAAAACAATCTCAAAACTGTAAAGTTTTTTTTTTGTAAATGATTTATAAAACTAGAAGGCAAAAGCTGAACATAGAACAACCTTTTTACCGACGCACCTGTGACTCTACCCTATGGCATATAATATAATTTAAGTATCTTATCTTGATCATAGTAATTATAATTCTTATTTATGATCTCACTTGTACGCAATCACATCCTTCCGCTTCTTTTCGAACGACGTCCAAAACAGGATCCACAAGTTCAGCGCCTTCCGTGTAGTGACCTTTGGCCCAATTATTGCCGGCACCAGATTGACCGAACACAAAGTTATCGGGACGGAAAATACGGCCGAATGGCCCAGATCTCACGGAATCCATAGTGCTGGGTTCCAGATCCACCAGCACTGCTCTTGGCACGAATTTACCCATTGCCTGGGTAAATGAGCAGATAATTAAAACTAATGTTAAATTAAAGTGTTATTGTTTTAACATACCGCTTCGTTATAATAAACATTAATTCTTTCCAGTTGCAAATCGCTATCACCATGATAACATCCCGCCGGATTAATTCCATGTTCATCAGATATCACCTCCCAAAATTTTGCTCCAATTTGATTACCGCATTGGCCAGTTTGTATATGAACGATTTCCCGCATATTTTACACTTTAAATTTAGGACGACCGGACGCAAAAAATAAAACCTCAAAATAAAGTTATTGTAAATTTAGAATTTAGAAAAAATAATTTTATCGGTCGTGTATAACCGTCAAAACCAAATCGTGAAATTTTGAAAATTACTAAAACACGCGAGTAGTGAGTGTATTGTTTACATGATTTTGAAATGATGGCTAGATGTGGTATTATTTGTCATTTTGAGAAATTGAATTAAATTGCTTTAATAAAAATGGTGATTATGGAAAGATTCTGAATTGCATAGTTATATATATATTTATATAATTTTTAGATTTTTTTGTTCGATGTTGAGACAATCGAAATAAAAGAAACAATAAATATGAACTATTTATTTATACATAATTGATTTATTACATACATAATTATATAAAACTACTTGCATCAAACTATTTGAATATAATATTAAATAACCACCAATCAATGTAATTTTTATATTAATTACTTCTTTACAAGCAAAAATAACAATTATTCAATATGATTTTTTTCTACGCTTTATACAATAAATTATTTTTTACTACATTTATTTTAGTAAAAGAGATTAAATTCAATGAGAAGTTATACAAGTAAATATAAGGAAGTAGAAAAAGCAGAAAAATATTTTTCTCCCGCCTAACTGGTGAATTAACAAAATTATTGCCGATCAAGAAAAAAGTACCCAGTCTCCCCTACATTAAAAGTTGCACATTTATTATCTATATCGACAATATTAACAAGTGTCTGGGGCTATAATCATAAAATACATTTTTCTAGTATTCATAAAGATGTCGATCTGTAATAAAATTGTATGGCGTTGACTTGAAACTTAATTACATTGCTTTACGACTTTCGTCTTACGTAAATAAACAATAGTTATGGCGATAATATAATTTTAGCGATAAATGAAGTTCATTGCAAAAGTAGAGAAAAATAATATAGTATATTTTTGATATCCATATTATGTGTTGAAGTATGTGTGAACATAAAACAATACGAACAATTTAGATCAATTATTTTGCCCTTTTTCCATAGCACCATTTGACATTATTATTTTCGAAGGAACTTCACACCTACATTTCGCTATTGTTTAATAGCTCGACAATGTTATATTGTTCGCCGACATTGTGCAAGGAGAATACATAATGCTCCATCATACAATTATCCATTGTCATATTTAATCTTGGATCGTTCCATTTTCTTGACAATGCTTTTATATATCAATCTCATTGTAAATTACAGACACGTTCACGAGTTAGATGTCTGTATAAAACTTTAATCCAATGTAAATGGACATGAGCCTCTAGACTAGACTGACTCTCTATGAGTAGAGGTTAGAGCATGACAAGACACGATAAACTTTGAAATGTCTCACAGAAGAAATATTAAGGTCGAATACGCAGCATACGGAATGATAAAGTTATTAAAGTTGTTTGGATCATTTGTAGATATGGGATTATGTTATCGTCTATCTCTAGGTTTTTTCAACCGGATTTATAAATACTGGGTGACTAAATTTTTTATATAAAATGTAGGAAAGTCCACCACCGATATTTCAAAACCAGTGAAGGTACAATTTTTTTTAACAATAATATTTAAAAGTAGAGAGCTAAATATGAATAACCAGTCTTAATTCTGATTCTTAGGACGTTGCTATCGCGAGATAAATAGAAAGTTTGAAAATCCATAACAAAAGTATTTTTGTTCTTGTAAGTTTTTTTTGGTTTTGAGCACTTTTGTTTAGTTTAAAGACCTTAATATAATTTATTTATTTTATAAGATGTTTTGTTTATTTTAAGTTGAATTCAACTTTTTTTTTATATGACATTTATGAAAACTTTACTTGTGATAACTGATCCTTTACCTATGGTAGCAATGAAAAATTGTAATTAGAAAAGAATATTATGTTAACAAAACAATTTTACAAAGGATAAATTAAATATTTATTTCAACTCTGCTGATGAATATTTCTGACAAAATACCAGATCAAGGTTATATATAGTGTTATCTTTGCCATAAATGTGCCTATAAAATTTATATTATAAATTGACCCTGTTGAGAATGATTCAAAGCTGACTAAATATCTAGAATCTTTCATATATTATTTTCTAATATGTTCAATTTTTGTCTTAAGTAATAGAATTGTACAAAAGAAACTATACATTATTTAATATAAAGTTAGGGGTTGGAAAAGACCTTCCTATATCATTTTTAAGTTTAGAGTTATGAATAAATCGTTATTATGCCTACAACAATTCAAGATTTTGTATGTGTTCAAAATTTAAATTATTTTTGCTCAACCAAGATATCTACGATTTCTCAACTTTTCCTGAACTAATTTTCTTCGAAATTTTTATAGAGTCTTTTTCATAGACTTCGTCTTTTTTAGAGCCAGTGTAAACTATCCTCAATTAAAACAAAAAGTTGCAAAAAAGCTCTTCGAGCAGTCTCTATTTTGTAAAAAGTTAGTTTGATATTTTTCACTTTAAATGGATTATTTGAAGGACTGAAATCAAGGCTATTGATAATAATATTATTGACTACGATATACACAATTTCTCAAATTTTACTGAACTGATTTTCCCAAATTTTTTATAGAAACCTCTCATGGACTTCGTTTTCTTTAGAACCAGTATAAACTATTCTCGATTTTTGATCAAAAATTGAAAAAATCTGAACTTCTTCAGGCAGTCTCTACTTTGTGAAAAAAAAAATTAAGTAATCCGTCGTTCTTTTTCTCTTTTACCTTACCTTATATATACATTTCTCTTTTTGTAATAGATTAGGGCAAAAATCATGGCTAAGGTAATAATATAATTGATCACGAGTCAATTTTTTGAGGCCAATTTTTATATTTAAATGTCTACCGTTGTTTGTTTTTGGCTATCAACTACAAATATTTAGGTATTTGTAGTATTTAGATATATTTTTAGATATATTTTAGGTATGCCTATGTATATTAATTAAAGAAACGTGTTTTCAAAATAAGTTCGTCCAGATTAGTTACGCATTAGTTACAAAAGTTAGTTATAATGACTTTAACACTTTTTGGATTAAAAACTTTTTGACCATTTTTAATTTTTAATTTTTTCTGTATTTTTATAAAATTAGTTAATAACTTAAAAACATGATAGTGAAAATATTGTTTACCTTTGTTCGAGCTTTCAAAAATCACATTTAAATCATACCTCTACTAGAATCATTATACTAGAATAATTTTTCAAAAATAAAAAGTTAAATAAACATGCATAAAAAACCATACTGAAAACGAAGAACAAATAAGATAGCAAAGTTTTTGATTTCTTATAAATAGTAATATACATACTTTTTAATTTTTTAAATTTATTACTTTACTATTAACGTACTAGAATCGATTATTATTTTCTATCGCGCGTGTAATTAAGGCGGTATTTATTATGTAATTAATCATTCAGTAGATATTACACACACATACCTCTCTACAATAGCAATACATTATGTTTAGATATAAGATTATTATTCCATGTACAAGATGTATGTACGCGTTCGTAATACGCAGGTCAGGCGAGTGATAATAACTTGCGGCAAATTTTATTGTCTCTCTTACTAAACACGGCTATCGTTTTCGATGATCATCGCCGCTAGAGCTCCTCCTAGTTACACAATTTATCGTATGGGAACAATAGAGGATGGGTATGCAAAGTCACGAATTGTTAAGAGAGCTGCCTGCCTGCTCATGATTATCAATTCCGATGAATAATGCAATAGTTGCAGTGGGCTGGCAATAATTCACATGACGCTCGATTGCTGCCCGCCTTGGATTTCAAATTGCATGCGAAATGAAATTTGCGTCAATTGGGAGAAAGATTACTGTTGGTTGCTGCCTTCGTGAATTTGTTGCAATTCACATAAATTATAGTAACAAAACTTACAGAAATTGTTTGCTAATACACATTAATAGAGTTGATTTTTATTATATATTCAAGTTAAATATAACAGTACAAACGATGAATATTCTGCATTTATATCAAATATATGTAATCAAAATATAAAAAATACCATTAACTTAATTTGACTGAGTTACAGTTAATCGTATTAATGACATAATGATTTACGGTGGAGCGATCTGGTACTTTTGCAAGAGATTAAATATGCTAATCAGATAATCTTGATTTGTATAAATTTCAATGCTGTTTTTCTATGAATGAATGAATTAGATAAAAAACATGATCAGAAACGTTGCTTATGTAAATCAGCAAAATATATTAGTTACGTTGCTCCAAATCTTTTAATATTTTAGGTAGTACTCATATTTTCCATATACAAGTACTCATAATAAGACAACATTCTAATAAAAATGATTTTTATCACTATTATTTTTTTTGTGAAAACTTTATAATGCATTATGTGATCATTATATCTCGTATTACATAAACTGCGACCTTTCTTACACAACGATATATTACGATTCTAGAGGCTGCTGACACACCCATGCGTTACAAACACATTTGCTGTTATTTAAACAGGTGTGGTACCGGATTTTACATGCAATAATTATTTAATGTCATTATAAAAATTTAAATGTATAGTTATGAAATACTCCAGCAGTACCGTGTCATTTTTAAAAATTATTTTGATACTAAAAATTACAATTTTAGAACGTTCTGATGTACAAGTTTAGCACAACTCGGATTAAACTTTATTACATTTTTTTACTATTGAAATTTTTATTTTATTTTTTTACTATATAAAATTATTTTTTGATATAAATTTTAATAATTTTTTCATCGTGTTATATTCATCTACATATATATGCAACGAGTCTAATTTTTAAACAATCCACACCAATACAAACTTTATTAAATTTTTTAAGTCATGTTTTATAATTTTATTTTTATTTTATTTTTTTATATTTATTATTATTATTTTTTTAATTTTAAAATTATATATCTGGATTTTTATCATAATTTTTTTCTACTTATAAAAGAAAAAAAAAAGATTTTTTGGCACAAGACAATAATTTGAATAATTTGAAATATACAATATATATACAATTCATTGAAATCTTTATAGTATTTTTCGAATTTAATTTATCATATTTTTTGTTAGACTTTTTAGACTTTATGACTTCTTTGGCAATAAATAAATCACATTTTTCATAACTTTTTGAAAAAGTTTGTTTTAGCTAGAAAATCCTGGTTGTTTCTTCAAAATTCACTTCAAAGACATTTTTTTACAGTTTTCTATTAAACTGAATACTAAGATATAGATCATGATTTAAAGTTAAACGATACATTTAATAAAATAATATGAGCATAAAGAAGTAGTTGAATTTTAGAAAAAAAATCATTTTAATTTGGAATAATCTTTTGCGATTTTAGGACATATACATGGAGCATTTACTTTATTTTAGTAAAAGTTAATGATTGAGTTTTGAAATAAAACGTTAAAAAATTATTATTTATATTTTATTAGTGCTGGGAAGTTTGGGCAACTTGTCTTGAGCCAAAATGTCTAAGAGTCCTAATAATAATTATGTAGTTTTTACACAAAATTTGACTTTTAACTTCCCGTAGGAAAAAATAAACGAAAATGCATTTTTTTGCAAATATCTTTACATTCCAAGTGTTTCTGAACATTTTGGCATACTTTAGAAAAAATTGATGTATGTGTGTGTATGTATATGTATGTGTGTGCGAAAACAAATTTTGTTGACAATTTCGTGAGCACGGATCAACCGATGTAAACGATTCAGTAAACATTCGATTTCTATTGATGGGGAGACGTGCTGATTAGTTTTTGGCAAAGGCAGGTCCATCCGTTTTGGAGGTATGGAGCAAAGTTAAAAAAATAGAGAACTGAGCATATGATTATAATGATTTAAAAAACATATTGCGCGTTTTGACGGTCATAAAAAATTATTAATTAAAACAATTTCAGCAAAATGAATATTTTGAGAAAAAAATTAAAAAATAAAATTTTTGATTTTGTCAAAATTTTGAAATTTTGAGGATTTTGTTAAAAACATACAGTTTTTGTAAGAATTTCAAAACTGCAGAAACTATAACTGATATCTATCTCATATATAGTTATAGTCATATCTCATATAGAGTTCTGCAGTTTTAATTTTTTTAGAAAAACTCTGTTTTTGACGAAATCGTCAAAATTTTAAAAAATTGATATCAAAAATTTCTTTTTTTTTTAATTTTTTTCCTCAAAATTTTTAGATTGTTGAAGAATTCTTCACAAAATCTTCAAAATTGTACAAATTGGTAAATTAAAATATATGATTTGTTTTAAAAAAAAAATTCACAAAATTGTCAGATTGCTTGTTATATACCTATGTTAAATAATTTTAACTTAGAAATTCAATTTTTTGATAGTACTTAGAATGTCTAAATCGTATGCCAAATCCATTAATATGGGGCGTCCTAGTATGACAGTATCATGTTTTGCTGTTACATGGGCAATTCAATTCAACAATAAAATATTTTCCCCGGACCTAGTTTCAGCCACACTTGGCCAATTTCCAGAGAGAGAGAGAACGGTCACGGCAATATATTCTCGTGCAGAGCTCCGCCGTATAATATAATACTACTCATTCGTTCTAACGATTTGCTTGGCCTCGACCTTGTCCACGCAACCTATATTATTCTCTACATATCCCAGCATTCACGATCATCTTGCATTGTTTGTTATTTTCTGCTCGATCGGAGAACAATATTCATATATTCGCATACTCGCATATTTCTTAATTAGGAATTTCTAATATTTCTTAATTATGAACGCTTGTCTGAACCTTTTTATAGTTCCGCATCGTGTAATTTATGAGGCATTAAAAACCGATTCGAAGTTCGGCGAGTAATTAAATGCTGTTGTGTAACATCACTTGGAGAATAAATTATCGACATTAGATTACTTCATTAATTAACGCGAAGGTTGTTTATGGTATTGATTGTAAAGGTGCAGTCGCCTCTGAGATTTTTATAATTGATCTGGCCTTGTGTAAATGTACACAATTAGTAAAGCATTAGTGTTAAAATACAAAGTAATTTTACAAGAAATTTTAGAACTTTAGTACATATTAGCAACTCAACTACGCCATTTTGCTATAACGATTTTTTGGACTTAAATCACCTGTTTAATATACAAATGGATAAATTTGTCCTAATTTTGTTAAGGGCGCATTCTAATATAAAGGCATGGATATTAGGTCGTTGTTAAATCATAGTAACAAAAGCGATGAAGAAGTATGTTTTATGATTTTATTTATCAACGTTACAGCAGTACAAAAAAAGTAAAACCAAATTTTAATAATTTTAAAAATTAGCAGTTTTTGAAGGGATGGTCACGTGACTGTTTTGACGATTGCAACTCTCCTAGTCTTCCAAAATGAAAAAAAATATTATTAGTCCAGAATTATGTCGAAATAGCATATACAAGAACTAAGCTAATTTTTTTTCGACAAAATTGCTTCTTTGAAGAAAAAACATTTTTCGTCCATTTTTTTTGAGTTTCTAGAATTTTTTAAAAATAGTAAAAATTTAAATTTAGGAATGATGATAGTATATGCCAGAGAGAAGTCTATAAAGAAAATTCTCTGGAAATTTCAATTGAATCGGTTTAATAGAACTCTAGAACCGCACATAATTTTGGAAAAAAACTGTTTTAAGAAAAAAGCGTTTAAAGGAAGGGAACACAATAGAATTATTATGGTCAAATAATTTAAATTTGAGAAAATCTTCTTCCGCACATATTTTTGAATAGCAAAGCTTTGAAAATATGAAATAAACAAAAAAATGTTTTTTTAAAAAAAATTTACACTAGAATACCCAATTAAATATCATAATATTTACTCACTATTGCAAACTTTTCTTACAAAAAGTTTTTTTTTGCAAAAAAATCCGTTTATCTAATTTTATGTTTCCTCGACGTTTCAAGTCATTCTAAATCGAATGAGACCAAATTTTGAAAAAGTATGTGTACGTGTATATATGAGCAAAGTTCTGGCCTTTCATCGACGTTTTCTCAAAATTTGATTACCCTATCCGAAATATATTGCAAAAACTTGATTATCATATTATTTCGGGGCTCTATTTTAGCAAATACTGAAACCCCAAATAAGAACAGTGCTGGGTTTCCTAATTTAGATTTTATATCCAATATCATAGGGGCGCTAAATAATATATTATGCATGCAGAACACATGCCTATGGGATAAAATTTCGGGAAAAATAATCAGAAATATAGAATAGACTTCTATATAATCGTATATGTATGCGTATATATATCAAATAGATTTTTTTTCCATTTTAACTATAATGCTTTACCTATTTTATAATATGTCTTTAGCTGTAAAATCAATAGTTCATTTCAAATTATCAATTATTTAATGAAAACACAAATTTTTAGGTACTTTTTACATTAAGGTTAAGATAATAGTTTTCATATTGAAATACCAATTATGAAAAATTGCCTGACTAGATTAATGAATTAAAGATTTGTTTTATTGCTTGAATCCAATTGATTTTACAAATAAAAAATATGATTTTCAAGGTTATTAGAAATCCATTGTGAAAAAAAATATTGGAATCTAAATCGTTGTTACGTAAAACTTGACTCGAGACAATACATTGTACATAACTAAAGTGCGGCAAAAAATAAATATTGATTTAATTTGTTTTTTTATGAATATTAGTATCGAATAGCGAGATATCTTTTTTATAAGTCTGAGTACTTTTACAATGGCTGTTGATTTGATACAATACTTATGTAATACGCTAATGGGTTTGGCTAATAAAAAAATAGCTTTATTGTTATTTTACATTCTAAATGATTTACTTCTATAATAAGTTTTTTATTCAGATAAATTTGTTGATAATAAGTAATTTGGTTTGGATCACATAACATGAAACAATTTGTATAACATTTTTTAAGAACTCTATTACATAAATTTCATCAGTTATAATTATAAATTGCTAACAGAAATGCAAATTTATGTATGATGTTTATGCATTTTCAGCTTGAGATTTTTCATATCTCTGTCATTTTTTATAATTTGATTAAAAAGAATATTTTAACTTTCTTTTAAATTATCCCAATTAGACATACACTTACATAATTATATGTACATAAATAATATTTTTTTAATAAAACTTTGACGCAATTTCCGTTGTTAATGAATACGTAGTATCATAAATAATACTTTGGTGAAAACTTTATCCAAAGGCGTTTCTTATCGAACATAAAAATTTAAATTCTATTTTTCAAATATTACGTTTTTGTATTTTTATATTTGTTATATTATCTAGTAACAAAAAAAATTTAATTCAATAAATGCTCTGACCAAATAATTACTCTACATTCTACTAATTTATTACTCCTTCTAGCATTTGTATTAGTCAGTGCTAAAATTGACCATTTTCGTGGTCGTAAATTGATACCAGGACTATAAATAAGCTCAAAGCTCAAAGCTCTTGTCTTTTGTCTGGTCTTTGTTAGTTAATGTGCAATTTTGCTAAGGTCGAAGGTAATTCACAAATCTTCTCCGACTTGACAACAATAATTGATCACACGCACGAAAATCGGACGATGGTAATAAATTTTGTAATTAGGAGAATTAATTTTATTACTTGAAAACGTTATATAAAGTTTTGTAGAATTGTCAGAAAATTGTAGAAACTAGTCAGTATGATTTACATTAAAAATTGGGTCACAAACATAATTTTCTTAGAATATTCACACAGATTCTATAATACAAGCTAAACGATAAAAAATACGTAAAAAAATTGTTCGGGCAAAAGATGCAGAATAAAATAACACATAATGCAAAATAACAATTTATAACACATTATATGATTTTTTCATGAAAATATCGAATTGTGTGGTGAATAGTTGCACAAACCCATCGTACTTTACATTTTAACATTAGAATATTCTCACAGATTTTATACTACAAGCTAAACCATGAAAGATACGAACAAACTTACTACATACTTAAGTAGTTACTTACATACTTAAGTAGTATGGACAAAAAATGCAGAATAAAATTACGAATAAATTGATATATAAATTGTTGTGTGTTCATATAATTTTCTTGAGATTTTTTAATTTTCTATGAATTTTATAAGTGCAACTCGTCCATAGACCAAACCGTTCTAAATTAATAATAAATAACTTAATTATGAAATAGATATTCATAACACTTCAACTAATCAAATAATCTCCATCTGCTCAATTTAACCTTTTTATTTATTTTTTTCAAATATTTTTTATTATTGTATCTTATTCTATGTAAATAAATAATATTGTTACATTCTGTATTATGTAATTTTGTGTTAAGTACATTATTAATTTTACTATATGTTGAAATTTTATATATATATTAATTGTTATCCCTAATGTAAAATAAATGTATTTTTAAGTCTTCTTGGCAGAAATCTGTGGGCTATATATATTAAAAAAAAGAATACACATGAGGAAAAAATACTAAGAATTTAAGGAATTTTGGGAATGTATAATATTTTGTATGGTTTCGATGTAATATACATTGTGGTAAACGATAGTGGGTATACTAAATGTAAAAAACCTGAGAAGTCGAGAAAACATAAAATTTGCCAATCGAATTTTTCGCTAAAATAAACATGTCGTTCAAGAGTTAATATTAAATATTAATGATATCTTTCATCAATTCTAGAAAATGAAAATTAAATTAAATGCGAAATTTTTTATTAAAAATTATGTTTAAAAAATACATTCCTATTTATATTTCTTATAAATTTTATTCATTATGTGATTAATTTCTAAATAGCAGCACAAGTTACACTAAGAATTATCAACATATTGTTACAATTAAAATATTACTTATTAAATAAATTCACATTCATTACGATTTATTCAATTAAATTTTTGCTGGATATTAGAAGTCTTCCGGACAGGTACAGTTTCAGGTGTAGGAATCACATCACCTGTAGGATTTACTGCCAATACTGGTTTTCCTGTTTGGTCGATTTTTTGTTTTGCCATTTGATAATCTCCAGAATCAAAATATTTCCGCTGGCTTTTGATTAGTTTTCTTTGCAAAAAAGCATTGTTTAGACCTGAATCACCATAAGCTGTAGCTCCTGGAATAATTGGAAACTTGGCTTGTAATTTTTCTTCTTCCAAATCTTGCGAAGACAACTTTTTGGGTTCAGAGTTACTCATTTTATAATACAATATTAATAATTCTAGTTATTCACTTGGTAGACTCTATCAATTAACTAAAAAACGTTGTTGCAGATGTATTTTGTCGTATAAATTTTATTGTCAAAATAAACAAAAACTGTGGTTTGCTCAGTAGGCATTTTCGTACTTCACAGTTCAAAAATTTGTAAACAATGAACGATCACACAGATCTCGGCTTATAAATATATTTTTATATTTTTGACTTTTTTATATATTTTATAAACGGTTATAAAACTTTTTTATATATTGACGGTTTATTATGGACGCACAAAACCAGATGGGAATTAGAAGGAAGAAACCTAGAATTTCGAAATCTCGTCGCGCTGGATTGGTTTTACCAGTAACAAAAGTACACAGGTCAGTCAAAAATATAATCAATTGATTGCTAAATATTAATAAAGCTATATTTAGTTTATTATTGATATTTTTCGGTGTTTGGTAGAAATTTGCGCAAAGGACGTTACGCCAACATCATAACCCATTGCAGTTCCGTTTATTTGACATCAGTTTTAGAATATTTGTGTGCAGAAGTCATAGAACTTTCTGGATATGAAGCTAATAAAGCTAAAAGAAAACGACTTTTACCACGTCATGTACTTTTAGCTATCAAAAGTGATCAAGAATTAAAAAAGCTATGCAAAAATGTAATCTTCGCCGAAGGCGGTGTCTTCCCAAAAGACTATAAAAAACCGTCAGAAATTGCGAATAAAAATGAGGCTGGAATTACAGAAACCCAATCCCGAATAAATATTCCTACTAATTCTCAAAATGTAGGTAAATCCAAAAAGGTGGTTTCAAACAAACCAAAAATTGTCCATTTAACCGGAGAACTGAATGTTGGCTCATCAACTTCAAGAATGGGAATTCAAGAAACAAATATTCAAGAATTGAATCAGGGGCCAATTATTGAAGATCAAGATGTGTACGAAGATGCACAGGAATTTTTGGAAAATCGTTATAATTATCTTTTTGGATATGACGTTCAAGCAACTTTGGCTCGTAATGAACAAGAACTTGCAGAAGTCGATCATTCAGTAGCCAATAATTCGACTAATGCTGGAGATACTGACTCTATAGTTACTGATCAAAGTAAAAATTTGTAATTAATTTTTTATAATTTATTTTCGGCGGGTATATATTTTTTAAGTGTTTCCTTTTTTAAATAAACTGATGGGAATGGGTCTACTTCCAAAATACCTAATTTTACCCAATTTTTTACAATCTTGTATTTATCAAATTAAAATTCTATTTTTATCTTCAGTATAATTTAAACATGTTATTCTAATGTTTATCAAAATATATTAAAAGTGATTTTTGTATTTAATGATTTTTATGAAATCCAAGAACTGATTTGTTAAATTGATGAAAATGGATTTATGTAATATGTTTAGAAATTCTATATTGTAATAAACTTACTATATTATAAATTTAATAAAAATGTCATTATTTATAAAATATTTTTTATAATATTAGTTTGTTCAAATATATTGAAAAATCAAAATAATTTAAAAATATATACAAAAATGCATAAAAAATTGGGCTAAATTTAAGAAAAATCATTTTACTCGATATAAACGATTTTATTCACTTTTTTAAAATGTTTGCTTTAGTTTTTTTTTGCTATCTATTTTTTTATCTTCGGGTTAATTTAAACAAAATATTTTAATTTTTAGCAAATATTAAAAGTGACTTTTGTATAAAGATTTTTGTGAAAACCAAGATTGATGTAATATGTTCTGAAATATTACATTTTAATAGATTTTATAATATAAGAAAAATGTTTTATTATTTATAAAAAAAATATATTATTAGTTCGTTTAAAAATATTTAAAAATCAAAAAAATTAGAAAAATATAACAGAACTGCATAAAAATTTAGGCTAACATTTAAGAAAACATCATTTTATGAAATAGAAATGATTTTATTCACAATTTTTTTTAAATTTTTGTCTCACTTTTTTTTGCTATCCCTTTCTTAGTTTTAGAAAAATTTTAGATTGATTTTGCAAAGGTCCAATTTAACTTTGAGCAATTATATTGTGAAAAACAAACCAATTAAATCACAACAAATAACACATATCAAACAAACAACTCTTTGACTACGTTCAGTAATTCTTCCAGCTAACTCATCATTGTAAAAATATGTTTTTTGCTGTTTTTAAAAAATTTGTCACTTGGTCCTTGTTGCACCAAAAAATAGGACAGCCAGGTTAATTTTAAATTTTAATTTTAAAGGAATTTATGACATTAGTTACATTATTCATTAAATTTCAAAGGTACATTTTTTACAGAGATAACACCTTGATCTGGTATTTTATCAGAAATATTTATCAGCAGAGTTGAAATAACTATTTATTTTAAACTGTATAAATATAAATAAATAACTATTTATTTAAAAAATACTATGGAATCTAACAATTAACAATACAACTTATAAAAAAATATAATAACGTATACTTAAAAATTATGTTAAGGTCTTGTAAACTAAACAACAGTGCTCACAACCAAAAAAACTAGCAACGAAATAAATAACTTTTGTTATGAATTTTCAAACATTCTCGTTTATCTCCTGACAGCAAAGTTTTAAAAATCCAGGTGATGGCTGGTTTTACATTTTTTTCCTCTACTTTCAAATATTTTAAGCTCAGCTCTATGTTACACATGAAACATAAATATATAAAAGCAAGTCTAATCTTAATTCAGCTAAGTACAAAAATTTTAACAATGCTTATATTTGTGCAAAGAACAAATAATTAATTTGTTTAGGGTTTATCAAATTATTTAAATCCAACTTGTCAGTATTTAGTTAACAATTTCATTAGACAATTATCAATTTCTCGGCGTCGTTCCTAAAGATAAAAGTGCTCATAATTGTAATTTCGTACTTTATATCTCTGGTCATAAAATGTAATAACGTATATTATAATACTTTATGTACACTTCTGTATGAATAACCAACAAGCATAATTTATATCATTTATATAGCTGAGTATTAAAATGTTGATTCCATTTTCCGGCGTGGCACGTTACATTTGGCATATCATCGACTAGGACAGGTGTTGAAAACCTTAATGATAGATGGATAAAATGATAGATGCAAAAATAAAAAATAAGTTAGGTGTAATTGGCATTTTGCTTTAAGGAAAGTTGCATGAACTTCACATAATCAACTTAATCATTAGGAATTGAAATTCAGTTCTTTAGGTAAAATATTCAATAGTTATAATTTCCAAATGATGTTTTTATATCTGTAATTATATAAATTAAATTAATTTTATTTCGTTTATTTTGTGTTCTAAAAATGTATTTTATTTAAGTTTGGTCGTTAATTGCAAATTCAGCATAGATTCTGTTAAGAATTCTAAACTTTGATGAATTTTTATAAATCAACCGCTTATCGTAGGCCTGTAATATTTTAGTATGTTATTTCAAACTACAAAATGTATTGTCATACAAAGTTTCTATCACCCAAAAAATTTTAATCAATAATTAATTACAAAGAAACGCCCCAGTCGTTCTTCACACGAAACTTGTTAGCATGATTTTCCATTCATATTTTTCCGTCAGTTTTTGAATTTACAAAAAAAAAACAGGAATTTTGGCTAAAACATGGGCTAAAATTTTGTACTTTTTTGTATAAATAACGTCGACAAATATAAATTTAGTCGAATTTTCTGGAAAAATATAAGCCTTTGTTTCAAAAAATTAAAAACTTATGGTTCCTGCTGTACTAATATGAAGCTGATTTTCACTGAAGCTAATTTTATGATTGTAATATAAATACATAAAATATTTGGCAATTTTTTCACGTAATTATTTATTAAAAATTGAATTTTACTATTTATTTTTATTTCTATTCAACGTTTGGAAAACGTTTTAATCAATCGTTATTAATTTTGTTTAACAATTTATAATCTTTATATTTGTTTTAACTACTTTCTTTTAAATTATATTTTAAATTATTATTAAACTTTGGAAGAAAAAATTTCAAGGTTTTAAATAAATTAGAGATTTTAAATTTTAAGTTTAAGATTTTAAATAAAATCTTGTTTTGATTATGCTTTAGGATAAGAAATATAAATATTTTGTTTGTATTTTTGTTTAACAATTTTTATGAGAAAAATATGATAAATCTCAACTATATTCTAAAAGTAAAATTTTAAATAAAATGTTAGTCATACTCTTGGGTAAGAAAAATAATGATTTTTGTAGTATTTTTTAACAATTTATAATATATTCATTAATCTGAATATTTTTTTAATGGTTTAATATTTCATAAAATATTTATCTCTAATTTATACTAAATTTTAAAAGTAAATTTTAAAAAAATCTTGTGATCATGCTTCTAGATAAAAATACTGTTTCGCGAATTCCTAATTTATTTCCAAAAAAAATTTACTTATTGTTTAAAAAAAAACTACATATTTATAGTAACAAATTATAATTCATTTACAATACAGCAATAAAATATTGTAGACTTAAATCTACAAGCTTTAGTAAAATAGTTGCATTTTACTAACAATTATTGGCAAAATTACACTTTTAGTATTTATTTCTATAATACTAACAACTGAATCAGTTTTTTTTTTATTTTTTAGAATAGTGGTTTAATTTAGTAAACTTATTAAATAGACTATTTTATTATAGTCCTTAAGATAAAATTAGGATTTTATTAAATCAAATTTTCCATCCTCGTATTTTAACCTAAAAACCTGGACATATGGAAACTTTGTGATATATGGAAAAAAAACTTAGAATTTTGAGACCAATCTAATACTTAATATATTTTTTTACGAATTTATGAAATATTTCAAAGAGTTGCTTAAAATATTTTGCATTTAAACATATGATTATTTACACAAATCTGATCTAACAGGAAAAACTGTTAGACACAAAGAGCCATATAATAAAAAATCTTTCGTTTGTTTAATCCCCAATAATTTTATTTCATTTATTTGATTCTACTATTTATGCAATATAATTTTTAGAATAATTTAAATATATTTATTATAAAATTATTACCCCAATAAAAAATGCGTGCTGTACAATTTTAACGACATCTCATAAACGATTATATTAATTAATTTTATAGTATATTTTTTGGATAAAAATTCGGACTTTTACGTTACCCATCTCTGTACTAGACGGTTTATGGCGATTTTTATAACAGGCTGTTGCAACAATATCTGTGCACTTTTAATGCGTCATAAAATTAATACAACTGTAATAAAATCAGAAGCGGAACGACGTATTTAGGCCATTGAATTAAACAATTTTATGTTTCCGAGCGCATGATCTCTCTGGTCAAAAAGGGCTATAAAAGTAATATTGAGTATATTTTTCGCATAAAATCCATGATGAAAAATTAAAATTGCTTTTATTATACATGAACACGACGGTGGTGGTGTAGGTTATTTTTTAGGAGATGATCGGGTTGGATTAGATAGGATTACTAAGTTGCATTAGTAATCTTGAGATGATAATAAAAATTAGATTTTATTGCCTAGGTGGATAGATTGGGTGATAAAATTATTTTTATTGATGATGAAACATTGTTGATTTCGTATATGATTATATAGATAATTTGCATAAAGTTTGAAAAACTTACCACAAATCAATATTGCATTAATAGTGTGAATCAGTGACTCCCAAACTTACACTGTAAATCATTAAGGAGTTAGTCGGTTTTTAAAATCCGACAATTTTTTTGAGAACATTTTGGAATTACAAAATACTAGTCTTCATTCAATGCATGAATGATTCTTAAAAAATTTAAAAATTACAAATATGGACAAATGTACCAAATTGATAAAAATACTATTACATATCAATAGTCGTGCTTCGTTTCACTATTATAAAAATATGTATACACCCTTATGTGTAAAAACGATGCATAAACAATAAATAATTTACTTTTGCTTTTTTTAATAAAATTCGTAAAAAAAATCTTATCAATAAAATTGAACAGTAAATAAATTCAGTAAAAAGCTGCTTTTAATCACTTGAAATTTTTGGTTATTTTTTTTGTTTTAATTATTTGCTCAAATCAATCAGCAGGTTTTAAAAAAATATTCTTCAAAAACCGGTTTTCTGAATTGAGGGTT